CACCGCTGGGACAAGCGCCTCACAGCTGGGACCAGAGCCTCACAGCTGGGACCAGGGCCTCACAGCTGGGACCAGGGCCTCACAGCTGGGAGCAGTGCCTCACAGCTGGATCAGTGCCTCACAGCTGGGAGCAGTGCCTCACAGCTGGGGCCAGTGCCTCACAGCTGGATCAGTGCCTCACAGCTGGGACCAGTGCCTCACAGCTGGGGCCAGTGCCTCACAGCTGGGACCAAGGCCTCACAGCTGGGGGACAGCACCCAGTTTATTAGCTTCCCTTCGGAACCTTGTTTTGCTGCTTTTATTCATAAATTGTTTTAAACTACTCTTGAAATCTATAACTTTGTACTATAAAATCTCTTGGTGTGACTTCTGTAAATTTAGTTAGTTTAGTATACAGTAGAATTTTCTCTCATTTGGTCTAAAACTACTACCAGAATTTTGTAAATGGGTTTTTTCTCCTTCACCACTTTCTTTTTCAGGGGCATGGGAGTGATTCTTAATTTGACTTGTGTTCCCCGCTGCTGTGTGCTAACCAGAACGGCCCGGAATAAATATGCAGTGTTTCTTAAAGGGAGGGCTTCTGTGTTGCCTCACTAACCTGTGTGGCTTCTGCTGGAGAAGGTGACCCCTTGTCCTGTTTATTTAGGGTGTTGCTCGTCATGCTTTCTAGTCGAGACCCTGGTTTGGGTTGGAGAGCTGGGAGCTCTGATTGTAAAGCCTGATTCCAAGCCCTCTTGAAAGGGCTTGTGCCTGCACTTGAAGCTGTGCCAACCCTGCCCACCCGGGCCCCGCTGGCTCCGACTAGCTTCACAGCCCCCGCCTTGCATTGCTAGGGAGCTCCCAGCTACCTCTTCCAGGCCTCATGGGAGACCAACCCCACTCTGCTGTCTCATGCCCCATCCTGGCGATTTCCATGACCTTAAAAACAACAACAAAAACTCCTAGCTACGGGGACTCCATTTTGCTAATAGTCATTGCAGTGGAACCTGTTATGACTTAGTCTTTTGTAAATGCAGCCTCATATTTCATGGCAAAATAAGCTAGAAATTAAGTGCAAATCCTTAAATCTGATCACCAGAATTCATTAGTAATTCATCACTAACAAACTGACACTAACTACTTCTTTAGCAAGTTCTTGACATCAGTGACATTAACGGACAGTAAGCTATTGTCAGGCCCTGGCCGGTGTGGCCCAGTTGGCTGGAGCGCTGTCCCGTGCACCGAAAGGTCTCGGGTTCCATTCCTGGTCAGACACATACCCAGGTCGTGGGTTGGTCCCTGGATAGGATGTGTACGGTAGGCAACCGATCGACATCAATGTTTTTCTCTCTCAAATCAATTTTAAAAACATATCCTTGGGTGAGGATTAAAAATCTTTTTTAAGAAAAGGTTATTTTCAGGGTCCTCTCTCAGAAAGTAGTGAGGCAGGAGGAGTCGCAGACTCACCGCGGCGGCATGTTCTGCACAGACACCGCCAGGGCCTGCTACGCTTCTGCAAACGCGCGGTGGCCTGGATGATTGATTGTCAGTGAGAGCTGGACGTCGATCATCATGAAGATACGCCTACAAAAATATTTATGCAGACCTGTAAAATGTTAAAGATTTGTTATTTTACAAGGCACGAGACCCACACCAAAACCCTGATTTACTTTAATGTTAAAAATTACTTTTGTTTAGAAAAATGTTCAGTGGGAAATCGTGAGCTACATCCATTCACATAATAAATATTCGCTGTGAGCACCGACTGGATTCCAGGCTGTTTTCCTCGCGGTGACTATTTTAGCACTGTGCTTTCACAGCCACAGAAATAGAGAATTCCTTTTTAGACACTGGCTGTCATGGTCTCGTGGGGGCGGCAGGACCCAGGCAGCTCCCTGCAGCCCTGCGTCGCCCCGTGGTCGTTGATGCTCGTACAGCGAGTCTGTGGTACCCAAGGGGCATGGGAGTGATTCTTAATTTAACTTATGCTCCCTGCTGACCCTCGGAGAAGAGGCTGGGCAGCCAGCAGGTGCTGCGTTTGGAGGGAATGTGAAGGAAGGAGGTGGGTGGGCAGAGGTGTGGTGGGCCAGCAGCAGGGGCTGGGACCAGGCAAGCACTGCTTGGCCAGTGGTCTCTGAAAGTGACCCCTGGGTCAGCTTTATCACTTGCCACATCTTGGGAAGCTTGGAAGCAGCGCTGGCCTGGTAAGTGCTAATGGGACGCCGGCCGGGTAAACTTCCAGGCATTGGGCGCTCTGGTCTGTGCTGTCCCAGCGAGACCTACGCCGAGGCAGTATGAGGGGGTGTGTCCAGGCTGCATCCCAGAGGGGCCTGATTGGGGTCCCCGAGCCCCTGCTTTCCTGCCTTCTCCAGGAGCCTCCCCCGCTTTGAGGTGAGGGAGCCAAGCCTTCTGAGCCCCGGCCCTGGCTGTGCCCACTCTGGGGAGGGGAGAGCACGGGAAGACACATGCAAACCCTCCTGTTCCACCGGGTGTTAGCGTGCGTCTGCACGTGAGTCTTCGCGCCCGTGCTTGGGAAGGGACCGTGATTCTCTGGTGGCTGGCCCTTCCCGGGCAGGGGCATCAGATGCCATGCTGACGATGTTCTATCGTTTGAAAACCTTTTGGACGCTTTTACAGGAGAGTGCCTAATGGGTAGGAGGATGTTGGTGGTGTCGGGGAGGACAGATGGTGGCTTAGGTGACAAGCCTCGTGCAAAGTGAGGTAAGTAAACAAGACCTGGACTTCACACACTGCCAGTGGCTGATAAGAATATCCGGAGAGGAAATGCTGGCAGTGAGGCCGCATGTGCCTGTTTTTAAGCTCTGTTGCCGTGTCTTTGACAATGAGATGGTGAGCTGTCTAATGCACATCGTGGTGGTGTGGCCTGCGCACACTGTGAGGAGCTCCCACAGCCGGTTAGTGCATACCCGTCACCTTGCAGCTTGTCCTTCCCTGTGGAGAGCATGGCGGCTCCTCTCAGCGGGGCCAGGTGCCGTGCGGGGCTAACGCGCAGCCACTGTGCTGCTGGGTCAGGGCTTCCTCGTCTGCCCGGAGTCTCCCTCCTCGCCGCTCCCCATTTTCCTGCGCCCCAGCCCTGGGAACCACTCCAGCACTGTGTTTCTGTGACTGCGACGTTTCTTTAGACTTTGCCTGTAAGTGACACCACGCAGTACTTGTCTTTCTCTGTCTGGCTTATTTCCGTAGCACAGTGCCTCACGGTCCATCCTGTTGTAGAAAATGGCAGGAGGTCCTTCTTCCTGGTGGCTGGGCAATATGCCAGAGTGCGTGCGCGCGTGCGTGTGTGTGTGTGTGTGTGTGTGTGTATGCGCACCCGTGCGCATGCGTGCACATATTTCCTGTCTTTTACACAGATGCATCTTTCTCCTTCATCCATGTAGACTAGCGGTTCTCAACCTGTGGGTTGCGACCCCTTTGGGGGTCGAACGACCCTTTCACAGGGGTTGCCCAAGAGCATCGGAAAACATATATAATTACATATTGGTTGTGTGAT